TTTTTTAATTTTTTTAGTTCTTTGCTCTTAATTTCACACTTTTATTTATTTAAAAATAACTTATTTTGTTTTCTGTATTATAAATTGTAGTTTTCTACTTTTTAAGTCTTGTGGATTTCATATTGCTGGGTTTTTTTGGCTGATTCTCACTCATAGTCTCTTATTTCCTTGTAATTTTTGCCTGTGAGCTTCTCATTTTCCCTGGAACTTTTATCTGTTGGAATTCTTTGATGTCTTGCTTCTTGAGGGTGCTACCAATCCAAGATCACTTTAAGTTAAATCCTTGGCTTGGGAGTGTTTTGGACCACACAGGTCCAGCCCAGGTGGTGTGAATTTGGGTGCAAACCACCTGATTCCCAGCTTCTGCTAACAAATTCCTGTTCCCTTCTTCCTGGCAGGTTTATTTCTCATTCACCCTTATATTATGGGTCTGCAACTTTATTCAGGGGTCTAGTAATTAGACTTCTCATTTTGGGTGGGCCCCAGGCTGCTTCTCCTGTCCCCTACACCCCATGTATCTGTCCAGGTGGAGGTTCAAGGACTCTGGGCATGGCAGAGACCCTCAGGGCCAGCTTTGGTGCTTGCCTAGTTTTCAGGCCTTGTTTTTACTTGGATTTTGCCCTTGTAGATTCCTTTCTTTTGTGCCTGGTCAGTGACGTATTTAGAATATATATATGCTTTTTTTGTTTTTTTTTTTTTTTTTTGGTGAGGGAGATCAGCCCTGAGCTAACATCCGTGCCAATCCTCCTCTTTTTGCTGAGGAAGACCGGCTCTGGGCTAACATCCATTGCCAATCCTCCTCCTTTTCTTTTCTTCCCCAAAGCCCCGCAGTATATAGTTGCATGTCTTAGTTGCACATCCTTCTAGTTGCTGTATGTGGGACGCGGCCTCAGCATGGCCGGAGAAGCGGTGCGTCGGTGTACGCCCGGGATCTGAACCCGGGCCACCAGTAGCGGAGTGTGCGCACTTAACCGCTAAGCCACCGGGCCGCCCGAATATATATGTTTTTAATTTCATCTAGCATCATAGTTTCAATCTGGAGGGTTGTTCCGTGTATCTAGTTTGCCATAGTGCAGTTAATGACCCGGCTTGGAACATAACATAGTCGATTAGGCATTTGTGGAATCTTTATATTCCTTAATCATGGCAATTCTATGTCATCCATTCGTTTTCTGTAATTTCAGTCTTTCAAATCTTTTTTCAAAAATATTTCCACCTTCAGTCAATGACTCACTTATTTCAAGTGATAGTTAAAACCACATGTCACTCTAGCAATAATAAAATGTGGAGAGTTCCTGGGAGTGGGCTTGAACTATAATTCTCAAATCTTATTTTAATGAGTTTAACTGATGGGCCCTTATAACTAGATTATATCTAAAACCTATCAAAGAAGAAGCCTGTTGCAATATATTGACTACCCCCTCATGCTTTGTTTATATAATGCAATATCTGTATGCACAGATAGATCCTGAATAAACAATGTTAAATAGAATTGGCATATGATAGCATTACAGAAACAGTGTGATTTATTCTTCAGGTTGTAAAGCGGTGATGCTTGATGGAGCCTTTTAAGTAATATGTGGTCACTGTAAAAATAAAGATACATACACATATATGTATATATACACACATATATGTATGCAAAAAGAATAAAAACCACCTCTTTTACTATCCATAGCTAATTACTATTAATCTTTTATATAGAGCCTTCCAAATAAAAGTGTTATATATTAGATAAATATTTACATAAAAATGGAATTTTATCACTTCAGTGTGGTAACATTGGTTTTGTCATGCTGATGGGAATTCTAATTGAGTTGTGTCTTTGATTCATAAAATGAGAAAATTATTAATGTTTGTTGGCGGGTGATATTTAAGAGCTTGGGCTTTGCCATCAAACAATACCGCAGTGTCCTCATTTGTAAGCATTAAAAACCATGGGATCTATCTCATAAGGTTATGAAAATTAAATGATAATGCATATAAAATGCTTAATGTGGTGCCTGGTACATGGTAAACACTTAATAAATAATAATCATCTTTTAGAGTGGGAGAGGATAATAAAAAGGGTACTAGGTAATATGTATCAAGAACCATAGAAATAATTAATGTTCACAAATCTACAGCACATTTTGAAGAAATTGTAGTGCAGTTTTGGCACAGGTGTTCATTCCCATGCTGCAGAAAAGAGAACATTGTTTTATAAGCTGATTCTTACCTGGACTGAAATTTGTGAACATATTTTATGTAGGAATTCTCTTTAGATTTCTGTATCCATTTCTGTGTAGTAGCAGATGTATAGCTGCTGAATAGGACTTGAAAATAGCCCCATTAAGTACAAATTGTATTATTTAAATTAGATTTAACCCATAATAATTATAATCCAACTGAATAAAATGAGCCTAGCCCTTACGGATTGTATGCCACAACTTGTCAACAGTGTCTAAATGAGAAAACAAAAACCAGAAAAACTCGTTCAAACTTAGTGTTTGCTTTGTTCCAAGCTATTAGCTTATTAAAAAGGATTTGCTGAGTCCTCTTTTCCATATGGTGGTCTGTTAATAAAGATTGTAATAGTGCGGAGGACATAATTTGCCTTTGAAATAGATGGCTAAACAGAACAAAATTAATTTGCTGATTTGTTTTTCTGGGTAAGCTAGTGTGCTGCTACTACAGGTTCACAATCCCTAACCAAAGCCCTTGGGGCCAGTACCCCATCATCAACACGTTCATATTTCTGGTGCAAAATACATGAATATTCACTGAGTGCAAATCATAATTAGCCTCTTGTCAATTCAGGTCAGTTTTTGCTGCCACACAAGTTTAATGCAAGCTTCTGAAAACTGAGTTATTTTGAGGTATTGTGGAGCTCTCTTATTCTGTATTTCGTGGAGGAGATGAGAAATGTTAGGTTTAGTTTCTGGATGTCACTCAGAGTTTTGGAGGACTTCATACATTGAAGACATAGCAAGCTGCTCACATCTCTGTTTTGTCTCTAGTGCTGGCGGCGGCGTGCACATCCCGCCCCGGTACAGGCAGTTCCCCCAGCTGACCAGATCCCAAGTGATCCAGGGGGAGTTCTTCAGTGGGATCATGTGGTTCTGGATTCTCTGGCGCTTTTGGCATGACTCAGAGGCTGTGCTGGTAAGTGCAGGAGAATGATTTTTATCCTTGTTTTGGGTTGGGGGAGGGAAGATATATTAATAGCTTAGCTTGTTTTTTTTGTTTGTAGACCGTTTTTCTATCTGGATACATCCCTTCATCATGTTGTCTTCTGTGTGTATGCAGGAGTCCTGTTATTTAATGAAACATAGTATCTGACCTTTTCTGCTCAAGGATGTCCATGTAGGTGGTCCATGTCTTATGGTTTCTGTTAGGATGCCATATTTGGAAGAGAGATTAGAAACTAATACTTTTAACTTCTAAACTAGGGATTCATTGGTGGGTTAAATTTCACACTTAAATTCCTTTAAATGATGACTGTCATCTAGTCTGTCCAGAGGCCCAAAGCTACCAGGGTGGGGTGGGGTAGACGTGGGCTGATTTGTCTTGAGGAGGGAAGTTAGTTACTGGTGACTTTCTAACACGTCATTAGCCTCAACTGAGTGTTTATCACATTTGCACAGACCCTGTTCTCTAGGCAGTTAGACCGTTAAGCCATTGAAATCTAAGCTTGTTGATCCAGAATACTTTGAATTTTAGTAAATTTGGCTTTGTTTTTAGGATAGGAAAAAAAAATCTTAAACACTGAATGAATTTTAGAAGCATCAGGTTGATTAATATCCCATTTTCTCTTGGAACTTCTTTGTGCCCTTGTCACCCAGTAAGGAGCTGCTTAGTGTCTCTGAATGGCAGTACATCTCATTGTAGGTCAGCTGTCAGGAGTATGTGCAGCTGTTCGGCGTGAGGCCATGATGTAGCCAGATACGCCCTAGATCAGGATTGAAGAGGAGCGTGTCCACCTGAGGCTCCCAAATCTCCCAGCAGGAATGACAGGACAGTTTGAGACATTCGTTATGTTTGCCAGGCCTTCAAGACATTGCTGAGATGTGGGGTATCTTTGAAATCTGTTGCCTCCATTCCCCCTCCATTCCCCCTCCCCTCCATCACAAACTACATACTCAAACACTGGCTCAGGCTGGTAGCTCCAAAACGGGCAGGCTTTTCAAATTCAGGCCACAGTCTGTATTGGACAGGTTAACGAACAGCTGGACTGTCAAATAGTTAACGTAGTAGAATTGGTTCCTCTGGTATGTCAAGGGCTGTGTATGTGACAGCCTTATTACCTTTTTTTCCTTCCAAGATTTCTTTTTAAATTTAATTAGTTGTATGGAGTATAGATTCTTGACTTCTTTTTAATGGTTGTCACCAGGGTCACTTTCCATATCCAGATCCTTCCCAGTGGACGGATGAAGAATTAGGCATCCTTCCTGATGATGAAGACTGAAAGTGTAGAATCTTTACAAGTGGGTTTCCCCCAATTCCTAATTTTTTAAAGTTATATTTACCTTTCTCAAACATGTTTTGACTTTGCACCTATGATGGTCTCCAAGAAACGGTGCATTTTCTAACAGCATGAAGAACAATTAACTATATCCGATGTGTCTAATTTCTGCCTGAGTATTTTCACATTTGCTGTCTTTCTCCTTCCTCCTCCCCTTTTGGTCTCATTTTCCTTTTCATTATATATTTTAAAAAATTCTTTTTTCCTAAGTTATGTTATAATTTAGGGTCCCATTTATCCATCTGTTGATCAAAGACCAAACTGTGCACAGGGATCACAGGGGTGGACTAGACAGGTGTGGAGCTTATAGTGTATGTTTGTAGTTGTAAAAATATAGTGGTCTACCCTCAGCGTTTAAATGGAAAGTTCCAGCATCAGGGAATGTTATGAAATGGAATTGCATGGAAATTAACTCTTTAAACAGTAAAGGGTTATGGCCCTTTCATTTTCCAGATTAGGAAGTCAGAGTTTTTCTTCTTTCAAAAGGAAGGTACTAGGAGGAGTCTCTTTCCCCACAAACCCCACAGGGGTTAAGACATTCTCATTTAACGTGTTCTTAAATTAATCATTGTAATTTAGTAATTGCCATGATTCAGAATGCCTTGGAAATTGTTTTAAAGGATAGGAAGCATTAAATGATAGTTAAGTGTTGTCATTAAATCATACTATTAATATTGCCATTATAATTTTAATTAGAAGTAGCTTATTGACATGAAAATTAAAGTAGTTTTTAAGTATGTAGGAAAGAGGGAATAGGGAAAAACTGTCACCAAAGGGCAGGCAGTTAAGCTGTCTTACAGCTTTTGTGTCTCTGGCTTTGCTATGGACAGTCAGAGGTCCCAGTCCTTACAGGCCTCCTGCTCCCCCTACATTAACATGTCTGCTAGCACTAACCTCTTCCTGTCTTCTTACAGATTTCCCAATATTCCCACAATCATTAACATTTTGTTTTAATGACTGGACTGTAAACCCTTTGAGAGAGCAAGGTAATTTTGCTTCTCTCCTGTATCACAAGGCTATTTACATGATTGGTGCTCAGTGAATGCCTGAATAATTGAATGAACGTGAGTTATGGATTTGAATTACTGAAAATAAAAGTACTTAAAGCTTTCCACTTTTGTTTCTTTGCAGGAGCCAGGTGAGAATTTCAAGAAATTACGGACTTCATATTGTACACTAAAGTTGTAAATTAAAGTGTTTTGGTCAAGAACGAGGAACTGAGTTATGGATGTTTCTAATAATGACAGCCACCCTTTATGGATTATTTCCTGTGCTCCCAGCTGCTGTGATAATTGCTTACAGGCCCTTTCAGTGGATTCTCTTGGGTACTCCATTGCACAGATAGGCATTAGCTCCATTTATCAGTGAGGGCATCGAGGCTCAAGGAGATGAAGTAACTTGCTTAGGGTCACACACTGGTAAGTGGTGACATTAAGTCTGACCCCACACTTAACTACAGTGTCATACTGTCTGCCTTCTCAGCTAAAGTCTTAGTTGTACATACATTGACAGTTAATGTGAAAACTCTTGCCATTTCTCTACTGCTGGTGTATTCTTGCCCTGACTGTACAGAGGTTAGAGGTCAGTGCAGTCCGTTTACTGTGTTTACGTATCTCTGGGCTGGGCATTGTGTTCCATTCATGGAACTCTCTTAGAGCACACTTCTAACTAGAAATTCCTAGGGCCAGAGGAATGGGAGATAAGGGTGAAATAGGATGTTCCACTTTTTCTAAAATTTCTTTCAAAGTACTTTCCAACTTTTGTAGCATCACAATTCTGAGAGTAGGTAGAACAAAATTTTCCTCTATCCACAGATAAAAATCTGCATTACAGAGTGGCTTAATGACTTGCCCAGAAGCATAACTATTCATATTTTAATATAGGCTTTTGAGCACCTAAGTGTTGAGAATACAATGCTAAACAAGACATAAGATTCTCTTCACAGAGAACTTGGATGTTAGGAAGGGAAGACAGACAAGTAAAGAACTACGTGAGGTTTATTTAAGTGCTATAAAGGAAATAACACGGGGTGATGTGCTGGAGATGGGTGGGTGCTGATCTTGTGAGTGGGCGGGGAAGGCATTTGAGCTGAAACCTGAAACAGGAGGAGGAACCAGTTGTGTGAGGGTCTGAGGGAAGAGTGCTCCAGGGACAAGGAACAGTGAGAACCAATGTCTAGGGTGGGACCACGGTCACCTTGTTTAAGGAACATGAAGTCCAGTGGGGTTCTGGCAGGTGAGGAGAGAGTGGGACTATGAGGTTGGTAGGTCATGGTTGCAGGTTTAGATTTTCTATTCAATGCACTGAGAAGCCCCTGGCAGACTCTAAGCAGGGGGTTATCCCATGCCGGTTCCCAGTCCTTAGGTTTCCACTCCCTTTGGTTCTCCTCAGTTGTCAGAGTGGACAGAATGGCAGCAAAAGCTGAAGCAGGTGGGGCAGTTTCCCGGCGCCCGCGGCCAGCTCCAGCGTCCCGAGCCTGCCGCAGGGGCTGCTGAGGCACTGCCCGTGGTGGTGTGTTCACTCACCTGCATGCGAGTGAGCGGTGTCAGCTGATAAATACTTAAGGTCTGTACTTGAAAGGACCAGCAGATCTCTTTGTACTTCTTAGGTCTCATTTTTGTTGTTCTGTCCACCAGTTTTTAAGGAAGGAATACTATCTATCTATAACAGTGAACTCAAACAGGACATTCCCATTACCTCTTTTTCCTTAGAAATCAAGCAGAGTTGCCTGACTTGAATGAACAGATGATAACTTTAAAAACAGCAGTCTTCTAAGCTCAGCCAATGTGGCCTCCACACACTGGATCCTCTTTTCCATACTTGGGCTGTGAAACCAGTTTGAGCTGATGCAGTTGTCCCTGAGCTCTCAAAGGAATGGGCTTCCACCCTTCCACGTGGCTTGTGGAGAAGTACTTACGTGGGGGAGGGTGCCAGAGAGACGTTAAGTACATTTGATTGATGGCTATGTGTAGTTCAATAATAGTGAAAACTTAAGACTTCACTGTGGGCCACGCACTGGGGTAAACACTTGACGTGTGAATTTATTAAATCCTCATGTTCTTTCCATTTTATAGATGAGGAAGTTGAGCTATATACAGGTTAGGTAATTTGCCCAAGCTCATACAGCTGGTGAGAGCTGAGGTCAGATCTTGTCTGGCTGGCTCTAGGTCAAGTCAGATTATCTGCAAGTCGGTACAGTATGGTGTAAACCTTTTTGATCATGACCTACTAAGAAATAATTTTACATTGTGGCCTAGAATGTCAATATGCTTGTGTACATATATATAATCCAAAAGTTTTATCAAACAGTCCTTACCTGTGATGCACACTATTTTCTCTCTTATTCTACATAAAAAATCATGGTTGATTGAGACTGATTTTACTACCCACTAATGGATCTCAACCTGCAGTTTGAAAACCTGGCACAGTGCTTCAAGAACTCAGGCTCTGGAGTCAGACTTCCTGGAGCTGACTACAGCGCTACCATTTACTTGCTGTGAGTTTGGGCAGATTACTTATTTGATCTGTGCTTCCATTTCCTCATTTGTACAATGGATTAAATCTATTAAATGGGTTAGCATGGAAAGCCCTCAGAACTACATCTGGCGTAAAGGAAATACTCTAAATGGAAGCAACTGTTACTTCTAAACCATTGGGTCTAAGCTAAATTTATAGTGACCCTTGAATCCCAGTTTGATTTTTATAGAAAAGCCTCCATATGGAGAATAGACTAATCTGTAAACAGATATTCCAGCAGAGGCAGTATCCACCCCTCCCCTCTGCCTAAAACAAAGAGACATTTAGGATGTCTCTTTCTCCCTGATGAATAGCTAAAAGTAAGTTTTAGGGTGTGGCCTTGTAGAGGGAGAGATGTATCTTCATAAATGGAAAAGTAAGTGGCGAAAGAATGACGGCAACAGAGATCAAGTGTCCAATTTTAACATACAAATTTGTAATTTTACTAAGTTTCTTATGGCACCTTGAATGTAAATAACACGATCATCTGATGAAGTTAAGAGATGGGAGGTACTGTCTAAGGAACACCTGTGGTCTGCATGTCACAGGAAGGTACAGAAGTCATCTTGGTTCCACTTGCCCCTAGAACTGTTCCTGTAGAAGAGGTCAACCTGATCGCCTGCTGCTACCATCTCCTCAGGAGCATCAATGGGACAACAGTGTGCAGTGTAGAAAACAGAAGCTGCCTGAGCTGGTGTTGACCTGCCTTAGCAGCTGGGCCTTTGCCTTTTGTCACGTACACGAGGAGTGGCTTGCCCGATTGGTGAAGACAAGGATAAGTGGAGTATACCTGGCACAACATCCATTTCTAGCTACAAACTCACTGTTATAGAATCAACACCCATTTCTATCCACATTTCATTATAGCCATCATGACCAAAACAAAATTTTATATATATATAAAATGCATAGTACTGATCTTGGAAACAAAAGTCCTGGCTACGTTAGCCTAGGCAAGTCATCCTTGGGGCTTCATATTCAGTAACTGATTGATTATGAGGGGACTTGGACCAGAGGCTCTTGAAGAACTTCTTGCTCTAACGTTTTATGAGTCTAGGAGAACCACATAACCCAGGTGGGTAGGTCCAATGGACACAGCCCCTGATAAAATTTCAGAAAAGCTAGTATAGTAGGGTTCTTTATAGAATTTTATCACAATAATTAAAGCATTCATAATTCTGGGCTAAATTTTAAGAAAAATCTCATAGAATAACATTCTTAAAAAATAAGGCCACAATTACTCTGCTGTAATCATGTATGAAGGTTAAGTAGAAAATGAGTTTCTATAACATACTATAGAATTACACGTTTTTCAGATGAGAAAACTGCAGTTCAGAGAAAATACTTAAATCTTGACAGCATTTTATGATTAGCTGGAGGGGCATGAAGACCAGAAACCAGATTCCTCATCTATGTGCCATCTTGAAGACTTTTCTGTTTCTTCATATTCTCAGACATAGGGTTTCCAAGTGAAGTTTTAAAATTGTTTATTTCTCTTCTGGGAACTTTGCACAGTAATTTGACATAATTTGAAGATATTCTTGTTGTCTTTCAAACTTCAGGTCATCAAGTCAAATACACAAAGTGACTCATTGGGGTAGCCAGCATTTTTCAAAAATGAAGTATAAAACATGAGTGCATAGTTTCAAATATGTTTGTTGTACGTTCTGTGTTCCTACAGAATATGTATTATTGGAAGTTGTGTCCAAAAAGTTTGAAAGATAAAATTTTAAAGGGAACTTCTCCAGACAGACTCCTCCTTAAATGACTCTTACAGCAAACACTTCAACTGAGCCATTGGAGGGGAGCAGTCACGTCACAGCGTCACAAAATATTTGAGGATCATCACCAACGCCAGACAAAAGACTGTCAGCACTACAACGGTAGCCAGTACAATGTACCAGGCATTCATCCTGACAACTTACTTTAAAAATATTTCTCATATGGGTGCTGGCCCAGTGGGTTAGTGGTTAAATTCACGTGGTCCGTGTTGGCGGCCTGGGGTTTGCCAGTTCAGATCCCAGGTGCAGACCTACACACTGCTTGTCAAGCCACGCTGTGGCGGTGTCCCACATATAAAGTAGAGGAAGATGGGCACGGATGTTAGCAAAAAGAGGAGGATTGGCAACATGTTAGCTCAGGGCTAATCTTCCTCACACACACAAAATTTCTCATATAAGTAATTTCTACCCACCATGCAGTAATTGACATAATGTATGAAACAAAACATACATTTCTCAGTCCCTCTACTGCCTGGAAGAAATGTCAAAACCCTGACTACTGTTACTGAATGTGATAGTGCTAGAAAAATAATCTTGATAAAGACTTCTCCATGCAGTCAATCTTTATTATAGCAGTATTCGCATATTCACATCAAGTACATAGAACTTTTTTGCCTTTTATATAATACAGAGTTTTTAAATAACTTTACACAGAAATAAATTTCTTCATTCTGAATTTCAGCTTTTTATTTAATTCTCCATGCTTTCTATCCAAACTGAACAATATTTTCCATTGTACAAATTTACATGAGAAAAACTCCAAAGTACAAGTGAAGGGACCTGAGCAGGAAAGAGAACCAAAGTATCAAGAAGTGGGTATGGGGAAGAATTAAAAAAAAAAAAAAATTCAGGCAAACGTTGAGGATTAAGGGACAGCAGGGAGACATCATCCATTTGACTGAAAATAAATCTTTTTTTTATGAATTGAAAAATAAGCTTTAAAAATAGTTACTCCATTGTAATTTTTGCAAAGCAGGTATAGAGAGGTCTGTGGACAATTAAAAAGTCCCCATCTTTTCACTGGGCACACCCCAGACTCCATGAGAACCTTTTCAATGCTTGAGTGGAACTGAAGTGAATTAAACCCGAACCTTTGGCATCAAGAGAAAAGAGAGGAATGTGTATGTGAGTTGCCATAGGGTTTGCAGTGGCAAACCAGGAGCCATTAATTCACTGCAGTTAAAACATGATGGATTTTCCTTTACTCTCCCTTATAGAAGAATTGTCCTCAAACCAAGAAGTAAATGAAAAGGGGGGTGATTTCCTTTTTCTTGGTCTAAACCAAACAGCAATCAAAACTACAGAATTCAAAGGGACATGTCGATGAACAGTCAAATTCAATCCCCTGATCAGTTGTACACTCCTATTTTAGGAGAAGCAGCAATTGCTGAGTGAGGAAAGGATCAGAGTGTACAACCAACAAATGAGATTACCACAAAAATACATCACTGTGATGAGAGTCCTTCAAATCAGGCGATATCTTGAAGGCCAAACTGAGACTATAACCTGTGGCATGGCCAAAGGAAACAAAGGACCTAATGAATGCATTTTCCAATGAAGGAGGGGAAACGGTACAGCACACACACACAGCCCTGTATGTAAACTAACAGAACATGAAGATAAATAAGACATAAAGATTAGCCACTTATGTTGGTAATTAACATGAATAAAAAGGCATTATATGTTTACATAGCTGGTTTTAATCAGCTACGGAACATACACAAATGTACTAGGAAGGAATGATTTTTTAAAAAAACCGTTCACAGCTTAGAATAAAAAGCACACTTATTGCACTCTTACATTTCATTTCAGGTAATTACAGTTTATTTCCCACCCTCACATCAATTTTTCCCTACCCTCAGACTTACTCCCACACCCTCCCCATCCCATTTGGTCCATTTTCTCTACATTTGTGCCTAGTCTGTGAGCTTTGTTGCTTATGTTAGTCTGAAGTTTCCTCCTATGTAACTCGTACTCGACCAATACACACTTGGGTTAAAAAAGGCTTAACACACAAATGCAACACAATCATTTTCAAAACAACTGGTACTAAGCAACTTACTAATAACCCCCAGCTCCACCCCTGTCAACAGAACCCTTCTGCCGCATCTCTTAAGCGAATTTCATGCCCGATTGCCTACATAGATACTGTGATGAGAATCAGCCGCTCATGAATGCTGGACAATGTGCTCAGCCTGCCAGGAGAAGTAGATGGTTTGCACAATCTTTTTTTTTTTTTTGATACTAACACGAATAAACAGATTTCAGTTCTCTGTTTGCAAAGAGTACTTCAATCTGCAGAATTCTTTAAAAAAATGCATCACAAAAAAACCCAGATACACTACCTGTGTCCTCATGTATAACTGGTTATATCATTGTAATTAAACAGCTAAATAAAATTAAACATTTTAATGAAACTGATTTAGTAATTAATACAACTAAATTAACAGTTGAAGTTGTGGATGTTGAAATAGATCTACTTAATCACGTTTTTGAGGTGGGGACTAACTGCCCCTATGCATTTTTAAATAAAGCACTGTTACCTTAAGATTTTAGGACTTAAGTTTCTGTCCTCTTCTACCTTAAAAATACCTGATAGAAACTGTTCATTACTCTTTCCACAATTGACAAAACTTAAGACTGAATTTCAATTTAAATGTCTTTGCCCAAACACAAGTAAAAATAGGTTATCTGAAAACAACAAAATAAAGCTTACTGTCTAGTAGTATACTGATATAACAAAAATCTTACCAGTATTTTCAATTTTATCAGAGCTAGCAACATGGAACATGAATACACCGGCCACTTCAATTTTCTCTGGCTAATATACAGATCAGGCAGAGATGCTACTGCACTCCTCGGGTGCTCAATGACCTACCTATGGCATTAGTAACACACCTTAGTGAAACATGTAGAGAACTCACTGAAGACAGTACATTGCCTTTTTGGGGACGGCAAGGAATGAAACAAGATACAAGAAGCACACCATGGAGTGTGTCCAGTTCACACCCACTGGCCAGGTCATTAACTATTCCAATGCCCCCTCATAAAAGAGCCCCCAGAGACCCCACCTGGCCCCCCACAGCACCCAGAACAGCATTGGCAACAGAGTCCCGCTTAATTTGCAAACAAGTCCTGGGAGGCAAGTTTACATTTCAAACTTTGAAAAATCAGTGTCTAGGTTGACAGCAGTACTCTGGAAACTGATCAAATCAAATTCGGTCCTATATTTTAATTTCCAGCTTCTCACTAATACACAATTGCTGCCCAGCATACATTGCTTCAACCCTAAACTACAGCACTTTCTTAAAACGTCAAACATTTCTGTTATATAAAAGTTCCATGCTTTGAAGAACCTATGGGAGTAGAAAAAGTTTCTCTAGAAATGTCACTGAACTACAATTTCAACCTATTTGCTCTATGTGATAAATATATCTGACTATACTAGGGATTATGTGCTTTAAAAAAATAATTTTGTTCACTGAAAATTTACCTGTGTGTTTTCTCATTTTTTAAATGTGATTTTGGCTATAAACTCTTTAGTGCATTTATCTTTGCAGTCTAAATTGCACTCTAAAAAATATTAACACAGCTGAGTTAGACCAGAGTGGCTGCTTTCTTCACGAATCACTCATTTCTGCTAAAATTTTAGCTTTTTTATTGCATCATGAAGGCACAGTAAGATCATTTGGCAATTGTCAAGGTATTTTTCTAGAGCCTCACCTACACCATTTCAACGTATGACTTGTAAGCTATTTGCTGTTCATACTCACAGTAAACCTTCCTGGCTATTTTTTTTTTTGAATAGCCTAATGGTTGGAATCTGCTAGTCTCAAGGTGCTGATATTCTAGCGCTAACAATGCCAACTTGGACAAAGAAGAGAATCTTGCAAAATGGGTAATCATTCTACCCTCTTAACTGGGCAGTCTCTCTACAGGAATATCTGTGCATGTGACAAAGCTGTGGCTAACTCATATGAAGATGTACTGTCTTGCCAAGCCTACTGAAAATTAAAATTATATCACTGTTAATGAGGTGATACCGTAACTATTTAATTTCATGCAACTGACGTAAGGTCAAGATTCTGAAACGTACCCCTACAGGTTCTGGCACCACTTTCAACAACATTCAGAAACTCTGAGCTACATTTTTCAGTATTACTGCTTAAATGTATAATGCCCTTTAGGACAAAAGGAGAGTGCTCAAATACAAGTACACATAAAAGATAAAATCCTAAATCATCTTCATGTTCTAGAGCTCCTGACTTTTTATATTTTAAAATAAATAACTATTCATTACCTCATTCTGAGGAGGTAGTTTTTTGAAGAAGTCACCTGAACCCTGCAATGTGTTTCAAACCAAAGCTAGATGAGGTCTGCATGAGGCTGGAGAGGTGAATGTGCAGGAGGGGCAAGTGAGATCTGAGGAGGGGCGTGCAGCAGTTTGAACATTGCCTGATGAATAAAAGATAACATTGTGTGATAAAAGAGCTGGGACTGCACCAAACGAGAATCTAGGAAATATTTACAAAGTTTCAGGTCGACAGTGTTGAAGTCTTGAATTATTTCTTTATAACTGTATAATGCTCTTTCTTCTCCAATACCAACACAAATATAACACACATACTTCATATGCGATTTTGTCCTCTAGGATGCCCCCGTATGTCCCACCAGATCTCACATACAATCAGGGACTAGATGTTCAGGAACCAGAATTTGACAGCTAGAAAGAATCTTCTTTTAAGGTGCACATAAGTACAAATGATCACATTGGATTTTCTATTCACAAATCTCTTTTATGAACTACTTTTTGGTCAATATTATTTCAGTGGCAAAAGTCTAGACCCTAGACTGCAGTTTAACGATGAAAAAGTCCATCAGAAATACTACATATTTTAAAACAATGTTTTATGGTTTATCTCAAATTTTTCAGAAGGCTTCACCTCTCTTTACCCAAAATAAAATACACTACAGAAGGCACTGCAGCCACTTTACAGAAAAAACAGATAATTACAGCCTTACAAGATGATCAGTGAAGCAGCCGCATACTATCTATACAAATTACTCATAAAGTGCTTTGCACAAACAAGGAGTTCTTCCTTGTATTTTCTTAGGAGCTCAACAAGTCTATCTGTAGTCTAAGCATCAAAAAATAAAGCAAGTAAAACTCAGAGGAAAACCTCTTTTTCATGTCATTTGTAAACTAGAGAAAAAACTATTTGATGGAAAAAAGGAAGAAAAGGGAAATTCTAAGTTTTTATTTTATTTTTTAAGGGCTCTATAAAAATCTCTCAAGAATACCCTGAGCCTGGTTTCTGGGCACAGCTTCATTTGAGATCAAGTCTGTTCCCCTTTTCCAAATGAGATAGTAACCTATTCTGAAAAGAAAGGGAAGAAAAAAGTGTTTCAGCTTGAATTTTGTTTTGAAAATTCCAATGCTAAGCTTCCTCCATAACTAGTTCCCATGCTGGCTCCTGCCGCCTGAGGCAGCCCTGCATCTGAGCCTGGGCAGGCTCTACCTGCTCAGCAAGACATGCCTATTGTGAAGTCCAGCTCCCTGCAATCTTGGTAAAGGGAACACAACCATGTTTAAAAGCATCTATGGGGACATATTTAAAAAGAAAAATAAACAATACTTTTCAAAGAGAGGCAGCATTATGCACATAAAATGCTCTTCAAATCAGCACAAATCATTTCCATCTTTGCAATTTCTGAATTTTTTAAGATACTGCTCGTGTAAGGCTTAAGAATACACTGCTTTTCAAACTCATTCATAACTTCAGGATATTTGCCACTTTGGTGGGACAACCTTTTACAAGTCTATGGAATTTCAGTAGGCCTTCCTCTGAACACAGGTATTTTAGCAAAAATCATCTAATGGCAGTGAGCTTTAGTAGGCTGAAAGATATAGTGGAGTGAGTTATAATTTGAAAATTTTAAATAACAATTTCTAATTCCCTGATTTATTTTATAGGTCCTGTCTAATTTCTTTCAGGTCCTTGGCTACATAGCTTGGTTGGACTAAGCATATTTGATTTGATTTACATTCTTAAATCCTGATAAGAGATTCGAGACTCATTATAAGGGAGGTATTTGCCATTAATCTGCCATTAATATATCCCGAGTCACTTTCTTTGCTACTACTGTGATTTATACCACCCTTTAGTAAAGGCCAAAGGAAGCTACAATTAGGTTATATTTTCCATTTAGGCAAAGATAAAGAATGAGGTTCTTAATACCACAGCAGCTCTGTCTATAAAAACAACTGATGTTAGGCTTCACACATCCTCCCTCAGTCCCAATACACCTAAAGTTGCTCTCTTCTCTGCCTGGGGAACTCAGCTGTCAAATTACCCAACCTTTTGAAGACCAGGCTTGGGAAAAAAGGAAGAAGGAGAATGAATGGAGACACCACCATTTTTATTTTAGGTTGCATATTTTAGATAAAAGACTAGAAAGAGGATGATAGGATGTAGTGTAGGAGTAAGTTGGAAAAAACAATGAGATATTAGCAAAGATGTTAGTGTGGATCCAGCAAGTACCATTAATTTAAAAATTATAAATATTTGTCACTATGCTAAGACTCCCCATATTTAGGTAGAGAAAAGGATAATGATCTTTAAAAGTTGTTTATATAACAAAAATACAATTTTCCAGAATATATAATTCTGGTGGGAAGTTATTTTATTCCAATTCAATTAAATCTGAAAATTATTTTAATAAAAATATAATAGAAGAAACTCAAATTAAAACTTGTACCTTACATTTAAATTACATAAATGTCTCACATTCAAAACTGTTATCAATCAGTTTTGTAGGCTTTTAATTAGATACTGCCATGGCATTTTGTGCCCTGGACAAAGTAGCCACCATAAGTATTTGGTGACTGGAAGAGCTTAGGAGGAAGGTATCAACTGTATTTTCCTGAGAACTTGCTACATTGTGGAGGAAAAAAAGAATTCCCAAACACTTGTCTTCATTGCTGGACCCAATGAGAAAAGAAGGCAGTGTGTGCCAGCACTTTCCAGCCTGCTTGGTTAGGCAGACACCCTCAGTGAGCAAGGAAACAAAAGGCCAGAAACCCAGTAGGTCAGGAAAAAGATGCAGCATTCCCTTTTCCTCCATACCAAAATGTATTTCCTCCTCACCTCTCATCCTCTATTTAAATAAAATAGTTCCATTTTGATAAAAATTTGTCAAGGACTGAACATGCACCACACAGAAAGGGCATGCTGCATTTTTATTCCATCCCTCAGAAATTAACCGGTGGTGGCTAGGGGAAAGAGCTCCACAACAAAATCCCAGAACAGAAAAGAGAACGATGCTTGGTGATTGCAACTGCCCCATCAGATGATCAGCCACATATTGATCTGGTGGTTAGAAGGGCAAAGTTGACTGGCAGACTTTCCATAGCAAATCTCCCAAGCTGTAGCAGCAGTTTCTTTCCATCATGCCTGACCATCAAAAGGTCAGAACTCAGGGTGTCTCCTCTTTCTTCCTGGGAGTGGGCAGACTTGTATGCACGTGGTATTTGTGTTGAAGAAGAAACACTGGCAGCAGAGAATTCTGGTTCCTAAAACATTCTTGCCTCTTTTGTTGGATGGGAAATTCCATTCTGTTCCACACCAGCTTATGCATTGAAAATTTTGTATCTTTAAAAAAAGATCTGAGGAACAGAACTGTGTTTTGATGTTAACAAATTGTACAAACACAAGACTTAAGAAATAAGAGTAGATGCTGCCGTGATGGTGTGGCTACTTGAAGGCTGCAAATTCTCCTGTAGAGGGACGACAAGAGCTAATTTTAAAAAAGTTATCTCAAATAACCTAGAGACACAGAAAAGCCTCACTGAAACCTCACTGAAAAGTGACTAGCTATATACTGCAAATCCAGCCAAAGCATCACTAATTTGAAAGCAAAAATGGCTGAAATCCATGAAAGAAGACAACTTATATAGTATGTAAATTATTATCAATTAAATATCAAGTCTGCAGATAATTTCCCACGTGGGTTTTACACGCTATGGTTCTAAGCAAGCTGAAAACAGTTCCAATGGAAAAAATATCTCAGAAACTGATTGTAAAATAGTAAGGCTGATTTGTAGAATACTAGCCCCCCATCCAAATTATCAACTCATTTTCATTACTATAATGCCACTATTAGGAAGGAAGAAGCAAGAATTATCCTCATTTTGCGAAGGATAAAATTGCGAGGTCAAAAGATTTGTCCACATTACATCTTTGACAGAAGGAAAGAAAATCCAGTCCCTCCATTTTCTAGTTCATTTCACCTTTTAAACTACCAAAAAATTACATATAGGCACATGCCAGTGAACATTATTCTCAGCATAAGAAATCCTTTAAACCACAAAGTCCCTTTGAGGTACTACACTCCTTTAGCTTACTGAATTTGGGGGGACTTCATGCCATTATTTTTCACCTACCATTTTGTCCACAGCTTCTACTTGTACCTAGAGGTCGGTTCCTCTTATTATATACACTACAGTTAATTTCTGGGGGTTGGTTAATAACTGACAACTATCGGAATTTAGTCAGCTTTAACATAATTTTTCAGTAACAGCAGCTTCTCATGAGAATCCAAGCAATCAATTAAATGAATACACTATTTAATCTAGGAATAACCTATCCATTTTCTCATTGCTATTAGATTCCAAGTGGTTACTAGAGAACACTGGCATGTCCCAACAAACAGCATATTGCTAATGACTGGCTAAATGAACCCTCAGATTGTCTGCTGATAATATTAGAGACTATTTGAGTGCTTGTTATATGCCAGGTGCCTCACTGAATACTTTATACACATTTGCATCTGATCCTCATAATAACTCTAGGAGCAGGTGCTATGACTCCTCTTTATTTTACAGAGGAGCAAGCTGGGGCTTAGAGTGGTTAAGTAACTTGCCCAAGATCTCACAGCGAGAAAATGGCAGAGGTGGAATGCAAAGTCAGGTGCTGATTCCAAAGTCCAGGGTCTTAACAATTAACGAGCCCCTAAACAGTTTCAATAATTAATAATTTGTTTTCCCATTCTGAATACAACTACTAACTGGACTGCAATCTCTACTAACTGGACAACTATCTTTTTCCATCTAAGGATTCCTTTTAACAAGCAATTAACCAAGGTATTGTGAGCCAAAAGATCAAGGAAGGATAAAAGATTATTACCTCATATTGAAAGTTAAAAGGCCTGGGGAGTTAGGCACTGATGAAAAAAACAGCCAAATTACTAAGACCTTGGAGAGTAAAACATTTAGAGCATAACCATAGGAGGCTATTATGTTAATAGAGACTCTAGAAATATACAAACATTCTCACTGCCTTTGCTTATGGTTTGAGTACATTATGGTTTTAAGGCTGCTATTTTTTTGTATTTTAATACATTTCTTTAAAGCAATTTTCAACATTCTTATGAGTAGTCACTGTATCTAGCAAAATCTAAATCTCATTAAAGGAAGCCAACGTGAAAACAGGATTTACTTAGAAATCGCTATAAAAAAGGGCTAGAATTCATCTATTAAGTGACAGAATATCAGAAAATGATAAACTCTAAGCCAAATCTTACATACCATATTAAAAAATCTTCAGATGTTTCCTATTCATTACTACAATTAGACACTCCATTTTGTTGAAGTGTTCTACTCTACAAACTTAAATATTAGCCTTAAAAATAAAAACACACAAAACCACCCCCCAAAGCACAAAACCTTACCAACAAACTCCAAATCAAATACCAATAAAGCAAACACTAACGATCATCCTACCAAAGTCTACTGTTTCTAATAGAATGCAGTTCTTTTCATAATCAGACTTCAGGTCCAAGTTTAAAAAAAAAAAGACAAAAAGAACTCATAGTTTAGAGATCAATAAAACAAAACTCTCTATATGTCCCTGAAATCATGGAGAAATTTAGAGAAAAAAGGGGGCTAACAGGCAATGAATCTGCTTTTGGAAAAAAAAATCTTTTCTTGCTTATTCCTTCTTGCTTATCTGGAAACCTCTATTACCCTACCTCCTACCCTATTTTATTTGAGATAAGAGCCAACTCCGCTTGTGTGAAATTACTTAAAGTGAAACACTCAGATATTCTGTGACTTTTTGAACATTAATTTAAATTATTAAATGAAAAATCAGAGGCCAAAATGAAACATTTTTTTACCTCCTTTCTGGTTGAGAATAACCTAAGCTCTATTTTCCATTTGACTTTATTTAGGAATAGGGCATAGAACACTCGGGAAGACCCTGGGATTTTAGACACCTCAAATATCACGGTTTGTTCATTTGAAAGCTAAGGAGTTTATTAACTAGTTTTAAGATACTACTAAATGATTACCCTTTATTCCAGAATTGAATGTATTTCAGTGGCTGTCATACATATAACTTGATAAAAATTCCTTAAAGATAAAATATGCTATGAAAAATATAGTATGTTATTTTGTATACAAATCAATCTCTGCTTTAGAGGTAGGGGGGCAGTCATATGAAACCAGAGTAAGTCCCATTCTTTCTTTTTGGTGACCTTTCAGGCAGTTTCAAAAGGATGATGAATATTCTGGCATAGACACACTGGAATTCTTAGAGAAATGATCACAGAAGAGATGAAATATTTAGTAAAATAAAAAGTGCTAGACACATGGACAGAGAAAACTGTATTGTGGTTACCATGGGCAATGGGGGTGGGCACAAGGGGTGAAGACAGACATATATATGGTGATGGACAAACAAAAATGTACAACCCAAAATTTCACAATGTTATAAACTATTAAAACATCAATAAAAAAATTAAAAAAAAAATAATTACAGTAGAATAAAAGAAAAAAAGTGCTAGAGAAATGCTCAATAATTCTCAATCAAATAAGACTGTAACTGACAAAATATTTTAATCATGAGGTACCCATTTCATAATATTAAAAAAAAAAAGGCAGATCATTTTCCTTAAATTGAGAGTGACTCACTTGACAGAAAGGCCGTTTAACCTGGTGTGTTAAAATAGTTACTATTTTAGAGACGATGATTTTAACTACTGGTTTGCTGTTTAAAAGTGGCTAGTACAATATTGTAATACCTGAAAATAAACCTGAAGCATTTTATTAAATGCTGTGATCCCTAAACTACTTAAAATCAATAAGACAAATCTCATTCCTCATCATGGACCGGTAAAACTTTTAAAATGTAAAACAAATTTTATAAAAAGGTTGCCTCCTATAAAAGGAAATAAACTTTAACGAAAATATCTGAGGGTTCAGGTTTTAGGAAAGAAGTAGTCAGTCACAAGAAAATGAATGTCCTTCTGTTTCAATTACCTAGTGAAAGAGATTAACTCTATATATGGTTAGGAAAATAATGTTTCTCTTTATTTGGAGAATATATCTAAAACTCAGTATAAAAGAAATAGATAACAATAACAGAAAGGGAAACTACCACATATCATTCTAATGCTTCCTACTTCTCCAGATCCATGTTATCTAAACATCTCACCTGCTATATATATATATATATATTCCCCCGCTCCCCAAAGCCCCAGTAGATAGTTGTATGTCATAGCTGCACATCCTTCTAGTTGCTGCACGTGGGACGCGGCCTCAGCATGGCCGGAGAAGCGGTGCGTCAGTGCGCGCCCGGGATCCGAACCCGGGCCGCCAGTAGCAGAGTGCGAGCACTTAACCGCTAAGCCACGGGGCCGGCCCTCACCTGCTATATTTTGAATGTTCTTCTACTAATATTTCCAGTGGGCCCAATTTGGAAAAAAGAGAATTACTACGCAACCCTATGGAGGTATGTCTGAATTATGAGAGTTAAGCATAATCTAAAGTAACAGTAATTTAAAAAAAATCTATTACCTGGTTGTTTGGCAACCAGAGATATCTAAAAGAAAAACAAACAAACCTAAAAGTTCTCACAGAATTCTGTGAAGCTGTTTTGGGGGAAGAGGAGGCAATGCATTTTCAAGGAAATGTGACTTCTATATGTGTGAGACATCCTTAATATATTAAGAAATATTATCTAAAAGGAACTCCAGTTTATAACATTTCCCCACTAAAAATCCAAAGTTAAACCACATTACTCCTGTCAAACACGCCACTGCTCAGCAACATCTTTGGTCACCTGCATCTATAATTTATAAAAAGAAATTTAGTCTACTGCTTTAAGGGAATAAAGGAAATCCCTATTTTCCAAACCGTAATAAATAGTTACATAATAAATATTAAGAATAAAAATAGGTTTACTCAATTCTAGTGACTTCCTAAATTACATCTGCTTGGTTTGCCTTACCCAACACAAGCTAACCTACTGTCAACTTCCCAACTGCAAACACCCGCTCAGGAGTGGCGGTAGTCTTGGCAGTCCCTAATGGACGTGTGACAACTAATAACAAAAGGTGCAGGAGGAAAGTTTAACTGAAGTTTAATAATTAGAATAACCAAGTAAACAAAAAAAACTTGGAACAGGAAGTAAAGCCTCTGGAAGAGGCAATGCAAATTTTTAGCAATGTCTGTCCATTAAAAAAACCCTTGGATGTTGAAAATCCAACACTAAGTATGAATTTTAGAGTGGGAAAAAATTGTATCCAGTCTTTAAAAACATACATGTTCTTTCGTTCACCTTTTTAAAATGAGAATATCCTATTCAACTTAACAAATATGTAAGCAAACATATGTTCATTTTCCTTTGTCCCTACTCTCCTATGCTCTCTCACTCACTGAATTTGTTTCAGTGGACAGGAAACGCACCATATCCCCCCGCCTGGATGGGTGTTTTTGGAGAAGCACAAGCATATAGACTAAAATCCTCTGTTTGGAAGCCAGCCCGATTCAAGGAGGGTTCTGATGCACTGCGGTGAATTTTTGGCAATGAGCGGGCCAGCAGCTCAATAGAGGCGAGAATCTAAAAAAAAAAGAAAAAAAAGAAAGAAGAATGAAAATCTAGGTGGTGTTAATCTTTAAGAGCCCCATAATACTTGACAAAAAAATCACCTTACGTTTTACATTGTTTTTAGTACTATCCTGAATGCCTGGAAAAATACTTAAAAAACTGATATTTTTCCTTAAAAAGAAAAGAAAATTACCAAATAGCTTTTATTTCTGTAAACGAATGGGGAAAGTAACCCATAGTTAGCTTTTGTTTACATTTTAGATCATTTGCCAGCCTTGGAACAGTAAATGAAAAATTTTAAACCAATTACATATCTATTTCTTAGAGACCACAAGTCCCTTTTGGGAAGAAGATGGAGCACAAATAAGTAAAGCACTATAAGATTTCATAAACAGAACCATCAGAGCAACTCATTCTTTAAAGACACTTAGTAATGGGAAATGTCTTACACACACATAATTAAAAGTAGGACCCCAGTGACCCAGACTGCTAGTGGCACAGGAGTGAGAAGTGATAGGTGACAACCCAAGAGTGAAGGAAAAGACAGGAAAATTCTTCAAATAGACACCAACACACAAAACGTAGAAATTCAGCATATTTTAAGGTACAAAGAAACAGGTTATGATCTTTGAAGGCATACAGTATGATAAAGCATGTTCATAATCATGAGACATACATGTAAGGGGCTTGGCACACTGCCTGGCATATAGCCTGGCATATAGTAAGTACTCCATAAAACCTTAGCAGCCATTATTATTATTTTTCTGAGCTACCAAAACTTTTTTTTTTAAAGTTAAACTGTAATCTGTATAATGATTAGTATAAGAAGGCAAAGAAGCAATGTTACAAGAATTTAAAAGTTACAAGCATAACACAAATAAAAATTCAAGTAATACAGAAAAGTATAAATCCTACCTTGCAGGGGTAACCACTGTTAAAGAGTCTATACTTTCTTCTGGACCTTTCCTATGCATAAACATGCACATATGAAAACAGAGCCCATCCCCACCCTCATCACCATTTAAAGTGGTATCTTACTATACACATTTTCCTGCATTGTTTTCCCTCACTGATATCCATGCCATCTATACTGAGCTGCCTTGATCTTCATGTCTTTATTTTTTCCAATTACAATAAACATTCTTGTATATATCTGAATACTTGTGGAAGCAGGTTCTATAGCATAGATTTTTAGAAGTGGAATTACCGGAGCAAAGGGTATATGAATTTTAAGTTTATAGATTTTACCAAGCCCTTTCAAAAGGCTGAACCAATTTACATTGCCATCAATATTGCTAAAAAATTTGAAAGGAAGGCTCTTCCTTGCTTTCCAACATTGTTCCCAATGGTGGATATTTCCAATCTGAGAGGCAAAGTCAAAATGTATTTCCTTGTTGTGTTAATTTTCATTTTACTAAAGTCACTGATCTCTTAACATCCTTCCTAAGTTCATTCATCATTCGTATTTATTCTGTGAGTCACCAGTTCATATCCTTTGCTCATTTTCTATTTATTATCTTTTACTTATTGATTTGTAGGAGTCCTTTGTATAATACAAATATTTACTCTTTGATACATGCCACAATTATTTTTCTCTGTGTTTATCTTTCAATATTATTTTTACTATATAGAAGTTTAAAAACTTTTAACATAGCTATACCTGCTATTCTTTACCTTTATAACTTCTAGATTTTGTCTCTTGCTTAGGAAAACCTTTCCTACCTCAAGGTATAAAAATGATTTCATATTTTATAGTTTTGTTGTTTACATAAGAATCTTTAGTCATATGAAATTTATGTTTGTGTATTGTGTGAAAACAGATCCTACAGTGAAAACTGAAAAATAATACTCAAAAGGGGTAGCCTTTGGGGCCGACCCGGTGGCATAGTGGTTAGGTGTGTGTGCTCCACTTCAGCAACCCAGGGTTCACGGGTTCAGAGCCCAGGTGCAGAGCGACACACCGCTTGTCAAGCCATGCTGAGGCGGTGTCCCACAGAGAAGAGCTACAACTCTACAACTATGATACACAACTATGTACTGGGGCTTTGGGGAGAAAAAAGAAAAAGAGGAAGATTGGCAACAGATGTTAGCGCAGGGCCAATCTTCCTCAAAATAAATAAATAAATAAATAAATAAATATATATATATATTTTTTTAAAAAAGAGATCCTACAACAAAAATTTAAAAATAATACTTAACAGGGGTAGCCTTTGGGGCCGACCTGGTGGCGCAGCAGTTAGGTGTGCGTGCTCTGCTTCGGTGGCCTGGGGTTCACGGGTTTGGATCCCGGGCGTGCACCGCTTGTCAGGCAATGTTATGGCGGCATCCCATATAAGGGAGAGGAAGATGGGCATGGATGTTAGCCCAGGGCCGATCTTCCTCAGCTAAAAAAGAGGAGGACTGGCATTGGATGTTAGCTCAGGGCTAATATTCCTCAAAGACAAAAAAAAAGGGGGGTAGCCTTCAATAATCTAGAAAATTCATATATGCATTTCATTTTCTGATACCATGCAATGAATGAAGTGTTATTTATATTTAGAGGTATGAACATTTTGTTCCTTTTAATGTCATTTAAAAAGTGGGCCTAAAGATATAATTTGCATTATTAATGTACATCAACCATGTTAAATAGGAAACCCTAGCCCTAGGGATGTAAAAAGAGAACATGGTGCAGGGTCCTGCTGATACTGCTCAAGAATACTGGTCTTTTACTTGGATAGTCTTAAAGCAGTGGTTTTCTAGGTTAAAAAAAAACAACACCAAAACTCTCCCTTAAAGGAATAGAAACGTAGAATCTCAATATGTAAAACATATCTACCTACCCAACCATTTAGCCTCCTCTCCTGGCTGAGACAGCCCCTAAGAAACCTGTTAAAACCATCAATTCTATCTTTAATTCTTTAGATGGGAATAAAAGATTCATTCATTCCTGTAACAGTGACTTCTAAGTAACCCAGGTAGGACTGGGTATTCAAAGGCATATAGGTTCACAAAGGACCAACCCAGTAATTATGGTAGCTGAGTAGCTATGGGAGTCAGCATTTGCCACTTGAAAACTGTATTGATTTATTGAGACATTTATACAGTGCTTTCAGGAAATTTCCTAAGCATCATAAAACACCGAATTTATATTGCAATATCTATTATTTTATCTACATATCTACTGATATGATACCTACATGATATGATACATACTACAATATCAAAACTATTTTCATAATAACACTGACATTATTTGCCTTTTTTACTGTCATTATTTTACAAGTGTAAGTGGAGTTTTCAGAGGCTATATAAGATATTGCAACATAATGAAGGCAAAAGAAGAGAATCCAGCTGTCTTCTTTTTGCAGACATTTACAAGAAATGTAAAACAATGCCACTCTTCTAATTTTTTTCTTTGGGAAAATATAACTATTTTTCACAAAAACATTATTTAACATGTAATGGTTTTATATGTCTAAATAAATTTACAAATAAATATTTTAAAAAGTTTTAATTTCTAAAATGGTAATTATTACTTACAGAATCAAAAGCTCGGGGGGGGTCTTCAATAATTTTTAAGTGTGTACAAGGGTCCTGAGACCAAAAAGTTTGAGAATTGTTAGATTAAAAAAAAGTCTTTCTGAATATTTTGTACTGGGATTATTAAGTTTCTAAGTGTGCCACTCTCAACCTTTATAAAATCATCTTTATGTGTCTACTTATCTGGAGTCTGCACATAATCACATGGAACCCAAATCCATGAAATACAACTGTGTGCCCTAAAAGTGCTTAAAAATCTGCATCTGAATATTAGTCTGTCCTTTTAGGTAACATAAAGCTTTTTCTTACTTGGGGAAAGAGTGGTCTCTCATCTCTTTTCTTTTTTAGGCACTCTGCCATTAATCTCTTCATGGCTTTTGGACAGTTACTCCGTACCTTACTGAGATCTGGAGATAGATATCCTCTTCCCACCATAAAAATTATCTGGGGAGAAAAAAAAGGCAAATCATACAACCTTGTAGATAAGCTGAAAAATACATAAACATGAAAATTCAACAAGCTGTGCATGTGTACTTTTCTGTATGTACATTACACTTCAATAAAAAGTTAAAAAACACAATGCTAGTATTCTGATTCCTATACATCATAGACTGGGAACCAACGCTTAATGGGCTGCAAGCAGAAATCTTCATGATCCCTGGACTATCGTAAAGTCCAATTGCTCCCCATGCTTCCAGTCTCTCTGTATCCAGTCTGTTTTCCTAGTGATAGGGTAATCGTTCTAAAACACAGATTGGATTGTTCTTCTTTTCTATTTAAACAATAGTTTACTGAGCACTTGATGGGCGTCGTGCTAAGTCCTTTACATATATGTAGTATGAATCAAAACTGCCTTTTTGGGGGCCGGCCCAGTGGCGCAAGCGGTTAAGTGCACGCGCTCTGACGCACCGCTTGTCAAGCCATGGTGTGGTGGCATCCCACATAAAGTGGAGGAAGATGGGCACAGATGTTAGCCCAGGGCCAGTCTTCCTCAGCAGGAAAAAAAAAAAAAAGAGGAGGATTGGCAGATGTTAGCACAGGGTTGATCTTCCTCACCAAAAAAAAAAAAACAGTTAGCCTTTTTAGCAGTTATTTTGGCATCTGCATTTTAAGCTCTTTCGTTGAGGAAATTCTAATGGGGTATTTGGTTATATAAGTCTGAGAATCACAGCCTCCTCAAGAAGAAAGAAGGTGAAGCCATTGGGGACTAAAATCTTCTGTTTAATAAACTAAAAACGCTTGTCTTCCTTGAGTGCAGAGATTCATAATTTTTCTAATTTCTTAATTTTCTAATTTTTGACTCTTTTGAGAGTGGGCCGAGACAGATGTTAGGACTCTTGGGACTCAGGGAGGAGAGAGGGGTTTTGATCTTAGAAGGAACAGGTCCAATAGGGAGAGACTAGAGGCTCAAGTGGAGAGAGCCAGTAAGAGATCCCCTGCTACAGGGCAGAGCTGATGAATTTTAAAAACAGTCAAGTTTGGTATCTTACTTTAAGTTATTTCCTATTTGGTGCTGTAATAACCCTTGTTTAACTGACTTGCTCAAGCACCACTAAAGTAGACGTGTAAAGCTTATCCTCTTTTCCCATCTCCCCTGTCATAACTGCCTTTCTCCCACTTTACAAAAAGCATATCTTTTACTCACATGGAATTTAACTATAGTACACACTGCTCTAGGGTGTAAAACCGCTGGGGAACCAAAAGGACACTTCCAAATATTGGTGTCTAACTTGGTTCTAATGAATGGGTAACAAATCCCTTTGCAAGACAGTTGGTTTCCAATTCTCTACTTTCAGTAAAATTAATTGAACTGTTGGCTGATTATTAAAATAACTTTTAATGAAAAGTTATTACGTAATTTTTGGGACGCTATAGAAATGACGTACCAAATAACGTATTCAAATAATTGAGTGATATAGTGTACAGTAAAGAATTAATCTCACTGAAAGAGAGAGGTGGCCTTTGCCTTTGTCTCCTGGGAGGTAATCTAAACTCTTACAATGTCCTGCTTGATAACAGTGTCTTTGTCTACCCAGGAGCCTTGGGCCATGCCAGATAGTCTATGCTATCAACGTGATTTACAGAGGGGGTTTTGAGTCATGTGGTATCAGTCGGACGTCTGGAGGAGCTGAAAACTAAGTTCAGCCACAGAGGTGGTCAACCATATCTACATGACTGAGCTGCAATAACTCAGGACTCTGCGGTTCAAGTGAATTTCCCTGGCTGGCAATACTTTGTGCATATTGTCACACACTGCTGCCAGGAGAATTTAGTGCTGTCCACAATTCCATTGGGAGAGGACAACTGGAACCTCCGCATGTGGAACTCTCTTGGAATCTGCTCTATGTGCCTCTTCCCTTGGCTTATTTTAATTTGAATCCTTTTGTTGTGATAACAGTAATTGTGAGTACTAAAAACTTTCAGTGAGTTCGGTGAGACTTAATAAATTACTGAACCTGAGGGTGGTCTTGGGGTCCATTGAACCCTGCATACAGTTATAACAAAACTCCTGACTTTCCCATTTTCTTATTTATTTGAACAATATTTCTCAGCACTTACTTCTTGAAAAATAAAACAAAGAAAAGGACTGATGCTAAGTCCTAGCTCATTCTAGCAAAAGTCATATTTATCCACAAATATATGAATGAATTGAAAAGAAAAGCCCCATGTTGTTCATTAAGATACACATTTCCAATAAAATTTTACCTTCTATGTTTCTATATATCAAAACTCATTTTTCATCAGTTATATATTAATAATTATTAACAGCATAATTCAAATTAAAAAAATTAACATTTAGAGCTTAAAGTCACAGGAAAAATTGTTTTTAATTCTAAATTTAAATACTTATTTTTTTGTTGCCGAGATGTAACTTGAATGATCAACAAAAGGCTTTAAAGCATAAAAATATTTACATTAGGAAAAAATTCTGTGGGAGAAGTAGAATATAAATAGTTCAAAGAGAAAAAAAGAGCCATGTAAAACTTTCAAAAATTAATGAAGAGCTTTTGTATTTTTCAAACAAGTGATGGTAGGTATCAAATCAGTACGACTTTTAGATTTTATTGGGTACATTTAAAAGAAGGATATAATGGCTTTATTTTGAAATGTTAATATAACACACTGGAAATTCCATTCTTTGCAATTATTCAAACTTAAAGGAAAAATCTTCCCTGGATGTAATTCATGGATAGAAGATTCAAGTGGTACATATACTACAAAATCAGCAGCTTGGTTTGAAATTCTGGGACTGGTGATTTTCATTCTCAATCACACTCAGCACTCCTGGCGTTTCCACCCCTTCATTCGCTCCTATGTATTATTGGAGCAAACGTCTGCCCATCTTCAACATCACCCCCTGTACTGCCTCAACAGAACTGTAAACTCCACTGAGAGCACAGCCTGTGTTTTATTCATCTTTGTATCCCTCTATATCCCACAGTGCTTTGCATATAGTAGGTATCGAAAACTTTTTGATTTAAATAAAATAATTTGCGTGTTGATAAGACACTGGTACTTATCATTTCCTGTCTCTTGACATCTTGTGCTTAGAACCCAGCCACCACGCTGTGAGAAAGTTCAAGCCTCCTGTGAAGAAGTCCTCACAGGAAGGCCCATGTGGAGAAGAATTAAGGCCCCTGATCCTTGGCCCTGACTGAGCTTCTAGCTGACAGCCAGCACCACCTTGTCAAGTATGTGAATGAGCCATTTCAGAAGCAGATCCTTTAACACCCACTGAATCTACCCCATCCAATACCATGTGAAATAGAGATAAACCTTTCTCACAAAGAGCAGCCCAAATTGCAGACTCATAATTTGGTTCAGCCACTATGTTTTGGGTGGTTTGTTATACATAGCAATAATAACTGGAATACACTTGAGATAACAGATAAACATTATCTATTATTTCCTTCTAAGATGACATAGCACTTCTGCTCCAAGAAAAGAAAAACATGAGGGTAGAGAGTCAATATACCCAGCTTAGATGAGCACATTATTAATCCCAATTTAGTAGAGAAGCTGCACTGAAAGAGGGAAGAATAGGGTGATTAGAGAGCAAAATGGAATGATAAAGAGGGGGAAAAAATGACAAAGCAACTTCTCAGACTTTCAGCACTAGGGTAAGTAAAGTAAAAAGGCATGCTACTCTGCAAAGTAACAAAGGGATGGTCGTCCCTCAAAGAGCTAAAAGACTTGTTTTAGGAAAGATTCTGATCTTTATAATTAGAAGAAATTCTTTAGTCCAATCTCTTATTTTTATAATTGAAAAATAAGATACCTAGCGGGGTAAAGTGACCAGGTCATGGCAGGGCGTGAGTCTAAGGTCGGCCATTCCATCACACTGCTTTACCAGAGTACTGCTTTGAATCTACAGGCAAAACCTGCCACCTCAGACTATGGGGGCAAGAGTGTAGGGGAATGATTTCTGTATTACATAGTAAAGAAGCAGCTGTCCCACCTCCCATGAAAAAGAAGAATATTTCTAGATTTTCAAACAGAAGTCCAATCTGAGAGCCATGGAGATGAAAGTAGGAGAGAGAAAGAAAAATCAAATCAAGGGGATGGATGGAGCAATACCTGGGGTTACTTCATTGAGGATAACTAGTTATCGATTCAAAAGAGGGAGTTCCATGGAAAACGCCATTTGAGGAAGCAGACTAGAAGGTAATGAAGTAGAATGAAGGTAATGGGAAGAATATATCATTGTTTTATCTCCTTTTTTCTTCATCAAATACTTAAGTTGGTTTCAGACTGGCAAATTCCAGAAGGCTCCAACTATACTACCAGAAAGAATTAACTAGTAAAGGCCTTACCCTTCTGTTGGTCACTCACTTACTTCTCTCATGGAGAGTAAGCCCTTGCCACATCATTTATTATACTCCCATGGAGGACAAAGCACCTAAAATGCCAAGAAGTGGATGAGTGTAGAACTCTGGGATGCTCTTATCCATATTTTGGAGATAATAATACTTGTTTCCATAATATAATTTTATTATTTTATTCAAATAAACTTATTCACTGATAAATGGATTTCATCCAGATCTTAGGTTCATAAATTATTACTTGTAGTCTCTATGATAAATCAACTAAAACTAAACTAAAATTCTCTCATAATTTCTCTAGAAAAATAACAACGCATACGAAAAGTGAACATGGCACAGGGTATTATGCTGTATGGTCGAGTTAATAAGACTGTAAAAGGCAGAGCACACGAAGCTTGCAAATTAGAGACAATCTTGCTACTAAAACTGCCATCATCCAATCAATCATCTCGGTGATCTAGATAGAATCTGTCACAAGTATAGTAAGTATAATGTTTCAATTACATTCTTTAGTTAGCATTTTGGTCCATCCTGAATCTAAGTTTCACGCAGGCTTAAAATATCAGATCATCAGAAGCCAGGTCACAGATTTTTTTTAACACTCAAAGCTAAGATTCAACATTCTAAAGCTGTGAAGTAGTTTTTGAAGGACCAAACAGCAACTAAAAAATTAGTTTTGTGTTGACTTGAGTAGAAACATAGTCATTTTCTACAATTCTCGAAATACAGAATCAAGACCACTGTTGTGTAGGGGCCATATGGTGATTCTATAAGTATATAAAAAGTATATGAAAACTTAGATTATGTCTCTGATATCACATGATAGCTGAAGTTCTTAGTGAGAAAGCTACTCAGAGCTATCATCAAAAAGATTGAGAGTTGAGCTGTTGACCAAAACACTCATATTACTTAAATGAAGTAACATATTTATACACAAAAACTACCATTTCATTAGATTGGGCAGTTATCATGAAACACATAAAACGTTCACATTCTTTTTTTTATTCTTTAGATTGGTGATTCTCAACTTTGGTGTGTATCAGAATCACCTGGGAAACTTATAAAAAACGCAAGTACTTGGACCCCACCCCACTGAATCAGAATCTGCTGCAGCATTTCCATTTTTTAACAAACTACCCAGGTGATTCTGATGCAAACCACACAATAAAGAATAAATATTACTTAATCACAATTTATATTGTCAACTATTGTTCTCTAATATATTAACAGAGGAACTGCTGCAATCTCTCTCTCTCTACACATGCGTGAGCACACACACGCACTCACATTCTTTTTTAATGCTGAGGTAGACAAGGTAATTTCAGTAAAGACAATTCATTTTTCCTGGCCAGTCTTAAAAGCCTAGGTGAATTGAATGTGTCTGGGATAGAAAAGGAAAAGAGCTGCATGAGGCTACATTGTTTTTGGAAGGTAAGGGACAGAGAACAGGAATTTAGGAAGAGAGAAGTAAAAAATTCCTTCCTACTAGAATTCTCATTATAGAAAAATGAAAGCATGATGTAACAGTCCTTCTATCTACCTAGTCTTAAAAATTTTCTAAATATGGAGAAACTTTAATAATTTTAAAAGAATTTGATATAAAGAAGTTCACAGCTGAGTACCTGTTCAGAAAGCACAATCTGTGGTATAAAGCCCAGATGCTATGGCTGCAGAGCTCAATCTTCTAACTGTGCTATGGTCAAGAGACATGAGGTATGTCCATTGCGGTACCTCTAGTTTCTAGTCATAAGATCAGGAATTTCACTCCCTTACAACACCTAAGAAGGCTATTTCAAGGAAAGGCCTTACATGCTGCTATTACTGCCAAAAGCATACAAAAGGTTTCTAAAACTGGTAACAAAGATCAAGAGATCTATTCTTCATGCTTACCTAGGACTCAACACTTCTTATCTATAATGAATTGGAACCTTTATACAAATAGTAAAATAAACCCCAAGAGATGGTAAATGTTTACCTGGTCCCTGTTGTTGATGTTTGAATAAGGTAACTGTCCAGTCATCAATTCATACAGAACAATCCCAAATGCATATACATCTGACTGAAAGCTATACGGGTTCTTATCTTGCATTCTGATTACTTCTGGTGCCTGTTAGAACATAAAAAGAAAAATATTCTTGTTTATTCTTCACTTCAACTGAATAAAGACTGAAAACCAAACAATTATAATTCCCAGAGCAATGCTTTTATCATTAAATAACCCAATATGTAATCAATTCTCTTATTAATGGTCAAAGAAATAAAACTGATTAAGAAAGATAAAAAAAGATGCTCCATAAACTCTGAAAGAGGAAGTTATTAGCTGAGATTCCACATGCATTACTTTTATAATTTGATCAGCCATCGTCTTTCTGCACAAAATACTGTCATTGTCATTTGAATTCTTCCCATGACTTACCCTATCAAGAATCAGTTCCCACTTTCCATTTCTGATTCAGCAAAGAAATACTAGACCTGGGGTTATAAGATGTCTAGGAGTAACAAAACCACTATGTAATTGAGTTAGAACTCAAGTTTTCCCATTGATACAAATGATTCTCCTCATCTCAGGGCACCTTAGACAATAATGGTAAAATTTCAAGACTGATAAACGCAAATCCCTTTCCTACCTCCAAAAGCAGTATAAACATGCCATTAACAAAAGCAATAGTCAGCAGGTAGACTTAGAAGATGGTATAAAGACTCTTTCGGCTGCTGCTTCTTGGACAAAGATATAGACCAAATCATATTTGCTACATTTTTACACATTTCAATCACTGTATTCTACAACTAGATTTCTTATTGGCTGTTTACATGAAATGCAATAAATGGTTGGTTAAATATTAGCTTAAAAGAGTTCTTTCACCTTGCATGTTCTCTATTGTTTCATTTGGAAGGAATTAGAGAAATTGCAGGGTATTAATAAAAACTTTGAGAAAATATTAATTTTATACCAAAACCAGAACTAACTGCAAAAATGGCTCAAAGACCTGGAACAAGATTTCTGGTTATTGGTCAGGGTAAGGCAGGTCAGACTCTCTCACCTGGCAGGCAATAATGGCACTCAGCCTCAACTGCAAATCAGAATCACCTGTGCAGCTTTTGGCCTCTTACTGTCCAGACTACATTCCAGACCAATTATATAACATCAGAATCTGGGGATGGGATCCAAGCATTGCTAGTTTTATAGTTCCCCAGATGGTTTTAATGTCCAACCAAGGTTGAGAACCACTGATGGAAGATGAGTGGGAGAACCTGATGAGAGTGAAAGGATGGGAGATGAAGGAAAAGAGTGTATCCACTTGCTTTTGTCATACATTTTATTGATAACTGCTTTCAGTAAGACAGTACAAAATAAACCGCATACAACTGTGATGTAATGAACAAGCCAGAATATTGAGAGACTGGTTATGATACAGACATAATTTTCAAAGCCGGAACACAATTTTTGTGAGGGACAGAGTAATAAACCAGTTGAAGAACTGTCTTTTTAAAATTTAGTTTTACCTGACTGTTGTTAGTAGATGGCTTGATAAAAATCTGTATGTCATCTACTCATAAGAAATGCATGACTGATCCTCAATTAACTTGGTGATTCAATTTGTAAAAATGTTCACAAAGGTTTCTTTCTCCTCTAAGATATAAATAAAACTAGGTTGAGAAGGCTATTGTAAATAATTCAGAGAATTATGTATAACCTTAGTTCCGACCAAACTCTTCTCTCCTAGTCTCTGGATGTTCCATGTTTGTTTCTGAAAGCAATATCAACACAAAAGGATTTATTCAACAATTAAGTATACTATTGCTAATCTCTTGCCTTAAAACTCGGCTTGGTGGAATAAAGGATGAACCCATCTACTTGGGTATCAACAAAAATGAAATTAGATAAAAATATAAAATTTCATAATAATCTACTAACTGTATAAACTAAAATTTTTGAAAAAGGACAAACCTGGAGACTTGACTGAGCCTAACTGTCCGACACTATTTAAAATAAACACACCTTTAAAACATGTATCAACTGTTTCTTTATAATTTTAGGTTTTGTAATTTCAGTACTTAAAATCTGCTTTCCCCCTCTCAGGATACACTGCAATCTTTGTTACAAGGTACGTGCCTTAGAGGTGTTTGAGATCCAGATTATAATTATCAACTAGCCTTTTGTTTATAATTATTTATTAAAACAGTTAAACATATATTAAAGAAAAAAATCTAGCTAACTCTAATTACTGAATCTTAGAAATAGAAAAAGTGTTAGAAATTCACTAATCCAGCCCAACATTAAAGATGGAGAGACTTGGAAGAGATTAAGAGGCAAACATAGCACTGGAGTACAGACCTCCTAACTCTAAGTCCAATGCCCTCCTTCCACCTTGCCATTTACCCTAATTCCGGTTATTATTACAAGAAATCATAGCTGAATCTAACCGTAGGCTTATCTTGGCCAATTCAGAATTATACCTTGGAATTTCCTTCTTAGGGACTGCTACAGAGAGTTCAGGGAAGTTAGGCCAATGTGGCTTTGAAAGCCCTTGCAGCTTTTCTCCTTTCTGCAGGGTGTTCCAAAGTCCTAGCGCACAGGCAGTTATTTACAGCTTACAACTGCACTAATAGTTTTGGGACATTCTGTATTCAACTTCTAAACAGCAGTTCTCAAATTTTTTGGTCTCAGGACTCTTTCAGTCTCAGAAATTACTGAGGCCCCCAAGGAGCTTTTGTTTATGTGGATTGTATCTGTGGATATTTATCATATTAAAACTTAACTGAGAAACTGTTAAAATATTTATTAATTCACTTAAATAAGAAAACAATCATTAAATGTTAACACAGATCATCCATTTTTAATATAAAGTAACTATACTTTCAAAACCAAAAAATGTTTAGTGAGAATAGTGATGCAATTCTTTTTGACTATCTGGTTTAACAGCAGCCAGCTTGAGTCACATATTTGCTTCTGCATTCAATCTGTTATGATGTGTTGTTCAGGTTGAAGAAGATGAAAAAATGCTAGTCTCACACAGGGATGACCTTGGGGACCTCTGAAAGGGTCTTAGGGACCCTTTTGAGAACTGCTGGCTTAGAGAACGATTCCTATGACTGCCTTTTTCACAGTTTGCTCAAAGTCACTGCACAGAAGTTTTAGTCCCCCTCTTCCATCTCTTCTTCCATCCAACTTCTCTTTCTTCTTTTCCACAAAGCAGAAATAGGAATAAAGAAAGAGAAAGAGCGAACTATGCAGGGCAGCACAAGGCTGACAGTGTTAAAAATCTACCTCTCTTTTTTATCTTTTCTTTCCCAGCTGCCCCATAATTATATGGTTCTTTCTAGTCTAAAGGAAGTAACTTTCCAATTTAGGCTTAAATAAGATTGTGAAATAGCCTTCCTTTCTCTTAAAAGGAGCAGTTCTCTTAGTAAAATCTTAATAATGGCTGCAGATCACACCTGCTTAAATTGTATACTTGTTTTTTTTTGAAACAGGGTACACAGAACATTTTGAACACAAAATTTTTTAAAGACACATCTTGAATAAAATTTAAACAGTGTTTAAAAAATACAAAATTTCTGTATGAAATATACTGAAACTGGTTTCCTAATATTCTTTTTAAACATAAAGAAAAAAGTCAAAACCTGTTCACATAAAAAATAAGCCCAACATTGATTTTTGTCAATACTGGGGACTATGAAAATACTATAGTTGAAGCCTTCAGTGACTTTCTAGTAACTCAGCAGCATCTCAGGGTCCAAAAATTCAATTAATGGAGAAACAGCCTTAATTCTTACCATCCACAAAATGGATCCAGACAGCTGTTCAAACTGATGGGACCCACTCCATCGAGATTTCACTGTGGCTAGACCAAAATCACCTATTTTTACTGTGAGGTCTTCATGAAGAAAAATATCTGAGGTGTAGTAAGTAAAGGAAAACAATAGATCTCATTTTCCTATCAGAGCAAACATTATGAAAATTTTAGATAAGAGATCTAATTTCTGTAATTCTATAATATTATATTCTTTAAAAAAGTATAGTACTTCATATTTCCTCTTAAAGTTAATAAATATGTTTTAAAAAATAACTAGTTCTATTTGGTCTCTATGACCCACTTACAAGATTTTGGGGGCTTGAAATGTGGTAGGATGAGGTGAGATGCTTTACTAAGTTAATTTTATTTAGATTTTAGTAACTCAGGCCCAAATATTCTTTTGGCAGCGCTGGGAAAGCCCTAAAGGCTCTTCACTGGAATGAAGATGGTTGGCTGACAGGATCTTAATCTGGATTTATGGAAGAAGAAAAATTATGTTTTTCTCACCTCATTGTTATATAACTTAGAGCCTTCAGTTACATCTCAAATACTGCTGAGCAAGGTCAGAGCACTGAAACAAACTAGTAGATAGCTACAAAACTATCCATTTTATGGTGCTGACAGAACGTGAGCAAGCAATCAAAAAGAGTCCTACCATCATGAAGACTTGATAGATTTTTTTGTAATGCTCAATCGGTCAGAAACCAAAAGCAGGTTGTAGTACCTTGCTCTATTATACTCTCATGCAAACCCATTTATTAATTCTTGTTACAGTATATTGAACTTAGCATGAAACTGTTTTTACATAATGTGAAGACAAAATGCAGAAGAAAAAGTCAGGATGTTTTCAAACTTCGCAGACAAATTTCAGGAAGGATACTATTACTCTTGAGGTCTCTGTGGATGATTGACTTGGCGTGTAAGTAACTGAAAAACAAAACATGATTTTAACCTGAGTAGGACTAAAGACTCTGCCCTCAAAATCTATAGAACATATTTAGAATCATGATACATTTGTAAACTGTACATTGTGATAACCCCTTTACATAAGAAATAATAAAATAGACTGTAAATCAATTTGGAATTATAGGAACATGTTACTATTATGATATAGCCAAAATCTTATTTTCTATTAAAAGACTTTGCTTTATCTTTTACTATTTACCAATACAAACCTTTCACTCCAGTCAAGCCTATTTATTCACGTCCTTTAAATGTACCTTGATATTTAATTCTACCACTGTAATCAATGCTCCCTCCACACCTATCCCCCAAATTAGTTTTCATTCTATTCTCCACCTATTCACACTTATCCTTTAAGATTGAACATACATTCTAACTCGTGAGCAAAGCTTTCCCATGACTAACTCAACTGAAAGTGATCTTTCACCGTTCAGTTATGCAGTAATTATTATACAGCTTGATTCATGTATTTTTTTTTCATATATTTTCTCATGGGCTTATGTTCACTTTCTATTTAGAATGTAAACTCCACCAGAATATGAAAGTTTGATTGATAAATTAAAGCTATTTTTAAAGGTAGTATTATATATACTTAAAATACCTTCCTAAAACTAGTGAGGAGCAAACTTCCTCTATAATGGCCACAGTGAATCTATTTTAAAGTCAATGATAAGTTCAAATCATCTACATTACTGCTAGAAACTGTGTTAGCTGAGTTCATTGACGGAAAGGGCTGTGTCTAGTTTATTTCTGTTTAGTCCCTGCCTAGTAAAGTGCCTGACATGTGGTAAGTATTCAATACATGTCTCCTGAATCAACTACAATGCGATACATATAATGTCCTAGTCAAAGCTACTTTTCTTCACTTAATACTGGAGAGAAGAGATATATGAGACTTCTGAAATCTGACAATGACCATTAGGAAATAAATGTTGCCTTAAAATGACACTTCAAAATCCAAATGGTATAATCAAAATTGTGTAATGAACAGTTAAAAATGGAAGATTTGCAAATAATTTAGATTATTTGCTTTTTCATCTTCATTTAAACTTCCTCATCTTCTCAGAGATCAAGATTTGGAAACTTTTTTTCTCAGACAAAATTTTGATTTCAAATTACTGTTTATACAAAGTAACCCTTTCTCCAATTACACTCTTACATCACACTGTTTATCTCCTTCACAGCATTTACCACAATCTAAAATTATCTTGTTGTCGTGATTTTTTAGGCCCAGTGTTGTTCTACTACATCACACTGTCACTTTTCCATTGAAAGGAACCATGTCGTCAGTCATAAGGCCTTATTTGCTTAAAAAGTTCTGCAGTGACATAGAAAGGTAAAAGCAGATGGACAAAAACGACTCTCAATCAAAAGTTTTTTCAAGATGGGGAGACGCTGTCTCCATTAGAAAGAAAGGGGGCTATACGGTGATGGTATGGTATCGTTGGTGGAGCTCAGTGCTTCAGTCAGAGATCTGCTATGTAGTACACAGAAAAGGTGTTGGTCTTTGAAAAGAGGTTCTGTCTCCTTTGAAATTAAAAACAACAAAATGGTGGTACATATGAAAATATGGAAGCATAGTGAACTAAAAAGAAGAGAAGATAAAGGTGTTCATGATGGATGGTATCAATCTTTTCAACAAATTTGATACAAAGAAATACAGCAAAAATAAAGTAGACAGAAATGTAACTAAAGGGTTGAGGGGAGAAAATTTCTGACCAGGAAAGTATTAGATAGTTAACAAGAGCTAAGCTAGTGATAGAACCCTAGTAGAAGTTGGATAGCATAAATCTTTTATTGGCCAAAGCTGCATAGAGCTGCAACTCGAAATAACACCACTTTATCCCTGTGTAAACCTTTACTGTTTACAAACTTCTTTCCTAACTTTTATCTCATTTAATAATTCTCTTTCTGTAACATCTCTATAAAAAAGCAGCAAAAGAGCAGAAATCCAGGTCTACACAATAGAAGGTTGGAAAGAAAAGGGACTCAAAGTCCCCAGCTGGAAAAATGGGATGAGTATCATACCCCAACTCCTACATAATATAACGTTCCAGAGTAATTACTACCCTAAATAATTCTATACAGGCTGACACTAAAACATAACTTCCTAAGAACCAACCAGGTATAAATGGAAGATGCCAAAAAACACATAACTGGGTTGAATGTAGGGAAGGCAACAAGAATAGATTAATTTTACTTTGCTACAGATGATACAGAAGTCTATCCATTATTCAGAACAATTAAATTGGACCTCCTTCTAACCTCTCTAAGATGTTAAGGAGAACTTATAGGTTTATAAAAGTAGCAGGAAAGAAAAAATATGCTATAAACTAAATGAATATCACATTGTCTTGAACAGTTTCTCTTGGGAGTCTCCTTCCTTGAAGAAAAAAATGTCTACCTACAAGAATCATTTCATCTTAAAGCTCAGAAATCATCTAGTAAAATTTGTTCTTTACCTTTCAAGCTCTTATTCAAGAATCAGCTTTTCAATACTCTTTTTAGAGCATACTATGATGTCCCCAAAGTAAATACAATACTCTAGATCTGATCTGATCAACACAAACTAGAGTGAAATTCTTATTTTCATCTTCCCCTTGAACGTTGAGACCTGAAACTGTAAAACTCCTAGAAGAAAACATAAGTGGTAACCTCCTTGACATCAGTCTTGGTGATGATTTTTTTTGGATTTGAAACCAAAAGCAAAGGCAACAAAAGCAAAAATAAACAATTGGGACTACATCAAACTAAAAAGCTTCTGTACAGCAAAGGAAACCACCAACAAAATGAAAAGGCAACTTACCAATTGGGAGAAAATATTTGCAAATCGTATATCTAATAAAGGGATACCAAGGGGCCGGCCTGGTGGCGTAGTGGTTAAGTTCACACGCTCTGCTTCAGCGGCCCAGGGTTGGCGAGTTTGGATCCTGGGTGCAGCCCTACACACCACTCATCAAGCCATGCTGTGGCGGCGTCCCCCATACAAAATAGAGGAAGACTGGCACAAATGTTAGCTCAGGGACAATCTTCCTCACCAAAAAGATAAAAAAATAAAAAATAAAAGGATATCCAAAAACATATAAAGAACTCAGACAACACTCATCAGCAAAACACCCAAACAATCCAATCAAAAAACAGACATTTTTTTCCAAAGACGACACACAGATGGCCAATAGGTACATGAAAAGGTGTTCAACATCACTCATCATCAGAGAACTGCAAATCAAAACCACAATGAGATATCACTTCACACTTGTTAGAACGGCTATTATAAAAAATACAAGAAATAACAAGTGTTGGTAAGGATGTAGAGAAAAGAGAACCCTTGAACACTGTTGGTGGGAACATAAATTGGTGCAGCCACTATGGAAAACAGTATGGAGGCTCCTCAAAAAATTAAAAATAGAATCACCATATGATCCAGCAGTCCCACTTCTGGGTATATATCCAAAAGAATTTAAATGAGGCTCTCAAAGAGATATCTGCACCCGCATGGTCACTGCTGCATTATTCACAATAGCCAAGGCATGGAAACAACCTAAGTGTCCACGAATGGAAAAAAAAAAGGTGACACACACACATACACACACGAATATTATTCAGCTATAAAAAGGAAATCCTGCCATTTGCAACAACATGGATAGACCTTGAGGGCATTATGTTAAGTGAAATAAATCAGACAGAGCAAGACAAATATTGTATGATCTCATATGTGAAATCAAATCAAAACAAAAAAACACCAATAAACTCATCTTCATCTTTCTTATGGTGGGTAAAAAAATTTGTTAAATGAGCCATTATTGTGATTGTTAGGGCAGCCATAGTCACTCTACTGACTCCTATTAAAATTACATTCAATTACAACCCTGGAGAGCTGTTCTTGTATTGCTCCCACAAAACATTTTTCCCATCCTTCGTTTGTAAACTTTTCCTTTTTGGACTTGGATAAGATTTCATATTTTTTAGACATGACCTACAAATTCAGCTTATTAAAATTTTAATTATTATTATTAAAAGTATTAAAATTTTTCACCAAAAAATAAGTTTTAAAAGATCAGTATGCTAATAATGATCTCATCTAAGTTATCTGTAAATATGCTAGTCATATTCAAATGAGGAATGAGGACAAAAATCTCCTTCCAGCTTCACAGCTTCAGGTATGATCATTATACAGCTATGAACCTAGTTAAATTCTCCAGGCATGTTATATCTCTCAGATTTATCCTCAAGAATAACACGAGAGATATCATTCAAACGCCTTGCTGAAATTCAAATGTTACGGCTACACCATTTGCCTGATTTAACAGTACAGACTATTTATAAAAGCCCCAAGCATCTCTTACTTAAGTTTGCTATTTTCTTATATTTTCAACTATTTCTAAAACCAAAGAACTGGCCTCCACAGACATTGGCAGTTTCAGTCCTCTTTCAACTATACACAATTTCAAAAAAGTTCATCAAACTTCATGCAGCAAGCTGCATCTCTCTTCAGACACCTACAGAGAATTTAGCAGTTGATTGGACTGGCATGCGTGATGGTGGCGACGGGATGTGATTTTATCCAAACATGGTTTCAAATTATAGTCTCCCTTCTACTTTGATGCCCCCCACTCCCTTCATAATGACAATGTGGAAAGTGAGCAAGACTGAAAGGAATGACATTCTGCTACTCCTATATAGTCACTAATCATTTATCACTTTAAAAGAAACTGCCAAAGTGGTTGTACCGTTTAAGATCCTTACCAGCAATGTACAAGAGTTCTAATTGCTCTGCATCCTTGGCAATACTTGGTATTGTTGGTTTTGATTAAAGGCATTCTAGTGGGTATGTAGTGGTGTCTTGTAGTTTTAATTTGCCTTTTCATAACATCTAATGATGCTGAACATCTTTGCATGTGCTTATTTGCCATTCTTATATCTTCTTTAAGAAAGTACTCTAATATTTTGCCCATTTTTTCACT